GCCTTACTAATCAAGAACGCGATATTCAAACGTAGTTGTTTTTGTTCGAATCATTCTTCTTGCATAATGCGCATTATAAAAAAAAACTAAAAAAAAAAAAAACGTAATAAATCGAGCTATACGTAATAGATCGAGCAATCATTAGCTGCTGTATTTTTCCATCATGTTATTTTCAATATCACTGTCAATGACAAATTTTTCTCACGTTAAACGGTTACCACGTTTGTCCGTCGTTATCACGCGCCCATACAATAACGTGCATTATGTAGAGCGAAATACAATCTAAAATCTTAAGATAAAACGAGAAATGGAATCTTTTCAAATTTTTTCTTTTTTCACGTGTTTTATTTACGACGGCAAGTATGGAAATTTTTGTGACTCAGAGTCTCTTAAGATAAAACAAGAACTAGAATGTTAAAAAAATTTGTTTACATATGCTTAATTTATGCATGACTGCAATTTTTATGAATGTTTGCTTTGGCATTTTTTTATTACTTAAATTCCGTTCCGCTTGCGAGAAAAATTCTCGTTTTGTCGCACTGAAAGGATCACTGTTGTCCCGGTTGTCGAGACGATTACTATTATACAAAAAGACAAATCGTTTTATTGCACACGTACCGCCAAACAACGTTCCGATATTCAGCAAGCCGAATTCCGTTCGGACTTTTCTTTTCGGCCTAAACCGAAGAATTACTCGAGAGAGTGTCAAAGGCGCCGCGGATAAAATGTACCGAATACTTATTTTCTAGCAGTTTTCTTTATTTGGCGTGACGGTCTCTCGTCGTTTAAAGGTAAAACACCGCAGATCGACGAATCTGTGAAAACGTACCGGTCCAAACGGTCCGGACGATTTGCATAAGCGCGCGCGGGAAACCAGTTTCCAGTCGCACCCCGAGAGTACGTATCATTGACACGCGGCACAGCGGACTGAATGTAACGATGCCACGGCTTGGGATTTTAACAAAAGTCGGTGGGGGAGTCCGACACGGACCTCCATCCAGGGTGCCTCATAAACTCGGAATTGCGCTCAATGGCCGCGTGTGTGGAGGACGACCAACGATGGACGGCCTTTAGAAAAACGAATCTGCGTGATACACGTATTTAGAATTGCAAGCCGACCACCGGCATGTCCGACGATAGTTGCACAATCGGCGCATTTTCTAAATGCCTCCGATATTTCCTCGTCGATCGCGGTTTCGATTAAAAAAAAGTTCTCCGGGTTTTAATATAGTTTTACAGGATATTAGATGAAATATATTTGTTATAATCGAGTTATATTTTTGAAATATATTTTAATTTGAAGAGAAACGCGATTTGTTAGAAATATTTATTTTTTTTATAATACAATTACTTTTAATTTAAATTTAAGTCATAAATGATATTTTATTTATTTAGGTATAAATTTTTCAATAAAAGAAATAGCAAAATTATATTCTTATCTCGAACTAAAATGTTAAATTTTAATTAATAATCGAATTTGTATCGCAAGTAAGTTTTAATTTTGATTAATGTCAAAAAACTTCTAACTTGAATATTAATATGTGTGCTATTTAACACTTTAATAAAATTTAATCAAAATCCGTTGTACCTTTTTGGCGATTTCATACATCACTGAACAAGTCGCTAAGCTACAATCAGGTGCGTTGAAGTAAAAGGTTGCAATTTTTAAATTTCGACACTCGCAATTATTATATCGCAATAATTATAGTGCAAAACTGACAAGTCTTCCTTTCCTCCATAACTGCGAATTCTTACACATCGTGATAAGAAACTTATACATATATACAAAATTAGCGAACAAAGGCACAAAATTCTATTTTTTTTAAATTTATTTCTGTGAGAAATTTGCGCAACACGTGGACAAATACTATTGTTTCAAAAATTGTATGCTAGATATAAATCTCTGATCTTCAATTCAAATTAGAGAGATGTTAATAACATCTGCGCTCAAATGGCGTTTCGCGGTACTCTTTATCGCTCTCGTCTAGCCGCGCTTGCTGCTTTAAATTCATTGATTAAGATAAATGTCCCAGTGGCCGGATGTTTAAGCATAATTCGTCACGAATAATAATACAATTTATAATATTAGACAGATCTTTTGATCTTTGAACAGGCGCGGTAAATAATGCGCGAAAGTTTTATCTCTATTCCTATTTTACATATCTTCCAACCTTGACCGCAGCCCGGGTTCGAACCTGGAACTTCCTTCATCCGAGGTCGTACCAATTCGACCACTGAGCCATGTGGTAATATTCATCGCAATAGCTTATTATTAGTTGTAATATTACGCGTACTTTCAGCCAGCGTGATTTAAAATTCGAAGTATAGGTTCCAATGGAAATCCGCACGAATATAGAAAACGGGCTAACCAAAGAAGAATTACCAGGTGCGGTAATATTGGCTAAGATAATATTTTTCGCAATGATTTCTTTACAGTTATTTAGATGCGTATATGGAATAAAAAATTAAATCCAATCGATTTAATTAGGGGAGGGGACTTTACTAGTCCAACCGGAGCTGTGTTTCAAGTCTGACGCATTTAGTCGGCAGTGTCGGCACGCAGTCAAGGTTGGAAGATATGTAAAATAGAAATGAAAATAAAACTTTCGCGCATTATCTACCGCGCCTGGTTCTACTATTTTTAGTTAACCCGTTTTCTATATTTGTGCGGATTTCCATTGGAACCTATATTTCGAATTTTAATTTGTATTCATTCGAAAACTTTTAAGATTCTCTTAAACAGGGAAACATTGTCCGACCAATTAGAAAATTAGCATGTTGATGAAAAATATTGTTATAAATAGATAATTAATGACAAAAAACAGTTCTAAATTGATGTTTATATATTTAATGATAGTTTATTCTTGTCAATTGCATGATATAGGGCATTTAACTTACAAGTTAAATAAAGTTCTTAACTATACAGTGAACAGGCAGATGAAAAACCGCATAATTAAGCAAAATAATATAATAATATAATTAGTTAAAGTTTAATTGTTCCTCCGTCACCGGAAAGTTTCTTTCACTGACATAAAAAATCTAGTTAAGCTCAATGAGATAATGAAAAATAAATTTTGACTTTAATTATGGTAACAATAGCTATTATGAATTAATAATTCATCACTGATCCGTTCAATGACTATATTAACTGATATCAGTGTAAAGTATGTTATTTCAGTGACTTTTCGCTGATTCAGATTTACAGAGTAGTTTTAAAAGGTCTCACATGCAATTAAATGCCTTTAAAAACATGTAATTATTACACTTACCGCACAAATCTATTGATTACAATAGGCGACACTGCATGACACTAAACTCTCATTTTTTGGCAAGTTGCGTTCGCACATGCGTTCGGCCGAACCAGTTATCCGGACACTTAAAAATATCGTTTTAATTGTTATTTTTAGGATAAATTTCATCAAAACGAGTTTCTAACCAATTTTTAAAGTTAGATAATTAATTATTTATTTACATTTCAATTTTCATACTATTAACTACATGCTTACGCTTAACGACACTGTTAACGCCGCGATTGGCCATCATTTTGACAAACGACAAACACGTGCTTATTTAATCAATTTTTTTAAATACAAAAATTTTTAATTAGGTTTACTTCTTTTTTCGCAATTAATTGTTAAATATTAAAGTTTTTTTGCAATAATTATATTATTTTCATTTTTAATTGTTCAAATTAATAGTAATAAGTATTTTTCTCCAATGTGGTCGGACACTGGGACGTGTCCGGCCTGTACTGGGAGTCTGGGACTATTGGGACCTGGGACGTTTACTGTTTAGTCGTTTACCTAAATATTATACCGCTAGACGAGGCAAGACGAGGCGCCGCGCGGGATGATCACGGTGGTGATTATCGCGTGGGAACCGCGCCGTTGATTGGCCGAGGTCGATTGACCGGGTTCGGCGGCGGGCCGCGAGGTCGCGCTCGCGTGCCGTAACTCGGCACTCGTGCGAGTGCCAGCGACCGATGGCGACGACCGCCGAGATGTGCCTGCGAAGTTACGTGGTGCCGCCGTGCCGTCCTTAGATCCGCGTCGTGCGTCCCCCTCCCGCGCGGGCCCCCGTTGCTTTTCCGCGCGTTTTCCGTCCCCGCGAGACGCACGACAACGACGACAACGACGACGGCGACGACGACGACGACGGCGACGACGACGACGACAGATCGCGTCGTCGAGTGCGTGCCGCGAATCGTCGCGCGTGAATGCGTGTGCTCGTCGGTGTGCCTGGCGGTGCGGTGGTGTGGTGTGCGCCGTGTCGAAGAAGTGCCGACCAGATCACGGTGGATCATCCGTCTGTACCGAGCGAGGGGGAGAGAGATATGCGTATATAGGTAAATATACGAGAATGCGTACGAAAGAGAGCGAAAAAGAGAGAGAGAGAGAGAAAGAACGCGTGCATGTGCGCGACTTGCGCGAGAGAAAGAGGCAGGAGAAAGAGGATGGGAAAGAAACCGAGATATGTCCCGCGTTGCAGCTCACGGCGAGCCGCCGCCGCCGCCGCCGCCGTGCCGCGCGAGTACGAGAGTTGACACTTCCGCGCGGAGCATGGGTCCGCGGCTACACCGCCGCCAGTCGTCGTCCCCGAGTCGTCGTCGCCGCCGAGAAGCCGCTACACCGTCGTCGTCCCGGCGTCGTCAGTAAACACCGAGCCACCGAGACGGATATACAGAGTGAGTCATTGCTCTTTTGCTTTTCGTCTGTCCGCCGCGATCGTGGCCGCGCGGCGGACTTCTGTTCTGTGTGTCCCTCTTTCTCGGCTCCTCGCCGCCTCCCTTGTGTTGTCGCCCTTTCCTCCTCCTCCTCCTCCTCCGTCTCTGGGATTCGAGCCCGCCGCGCCGCTCGCAATTTCTTCTCGGTGCCAGCGATTATACCCTGACCCTGACCCTCGGCCGCGTTAACAACCGAGAAAGTCCGAAAAGCACAGATCATCCTTCCGCAAAGGTGCCCGCCCGTTCCGCATATTAAAATTTATTGCCGACTGTTCCGCGCGCGGATCCGACGAATTTTTAAGTTCCGGGGATTTTGGGGGTCAAGTGTCAACTTGCGCTTTGCGCTTCGTAACCGTTCCGACCGCGCGGTGTCTATTAAGCTTGTTTGTGCACGTTTCTTTGAGAATCCCGTAGGATTGTTATTACCTGGATCTTCCATTCTGGGGTTCATTGTGGTGCAAATTTCTCGCTACGTTAAAGCATCTGGACACCGCACTGGCCTTCTTTCCCTCTCGTGTCTTTTACCCTTTCTACGGTCATCTCTCCTTTAACATCGCCGCGCGCCGTCTTGCTTTCGCGCGATTTCGTATTTTTCTCGCGTGAAAAACTGTAAAAGTTACAGCTATACGTTTAAAAAATTTGTCTGATATGTTGAAAACTTTTTAAAACATGATATGGATCAATTCGTTATGAATGAGTATATTAGAGACATAAAGAAGGGTTTTGAAACCCTTTGATTACTTTCTTACGGTAAGTCTATGTTGAAGTAATCGATCGTGTTTAAAACATTTTACCGCTCTTCGTCACGCGACTCTGCTTTCGATCAATTAAACTGTCAATCAAGAACACGCTGGCACCTCGTTTGTAGTTCGAAAAAAATACGGTATTTCGACGGTAAAAGTAGCCGCTAGAAGTAGGCGCAGCTGCATCGTTTAACACGACCTACTCCACCGAAGGGGTCAAAATGGGGGGGGGGGTACAAATTAATTATCTGTATATTTTAATAAAAGTCAGAAAATTTCAGAAGTTTTAACGTTTTAAAAATGAATAATTATTCTTTTAAAAAATGTCAAACAGATCATTTTAACCCTCTTAGTAGGAGTTCTAGTTCTAAAAATTATGCACATACAGGAGCATCACTACCGAATTCCGAATACCAGCAGAATTTCTTCAAATCTCCAGAATTATATACTGTTATTGTCTCCGCCAACGAACGC